TCCTTTGTCCTCCTCCTCCCCCTCCTTCATCAACTCTAACAGCTGACGACTTTACCACATTCTTCATTAATAAAATTACAAACCTCAGTGCACAATTTGCCACACCACAAACTGTCAAACACATCTTACCAGCAAACATACACTCGTTTTCATCATTCTCTCCACTCTCTGAGGCAGAAGTCTCTAAACTCATCCTTTCCAATCATCCTACTACTTTTCCGCTTGATCCTGTTCCATCTCATCTCATTCAAGCCATTTCTCCTACCGCTGTACCTGCACTCACTCACATCGTTAACACATCCCTTCAAACTGGTGTTTTTCCCTCAACATTTAAACTGGCTCGTAAAACCCCACTTCTTAAGAAACCCACTCTTAACCCAACTCTTTTAGAGAAATACAGACCGGTTTCCCTTCTACCTTTCATTGCAAAAACACTTGAACGAGTTGTGTTCAACCAAGTCTCTGCCTTTCTCACACAGAACAACCTCCTGGACAGCAACCAATCTGGCTTCAGAAGTGGACATTCGACCGAGACTGCCTTGCTTTCAGTTGTTGAAGCCCTAAGACTGGCAAAAGCAGATTCCAAATCTTCTATACTTATTTTGCTGGATCTGTCTGCTGCTTTTGATATGGTGAACCACCAGACTCTCCTGTCAACCCTATTGGAAAATGGCATCTCAGGAATTGCACGCCAGTGGTTTGCGTCTTACCTATCAGATAGGTCCTTCAAGGTATCTTGTAGAGGTGAGGTGTCCAAGTCGCAACATCCAACTACTGGGGTGCCTCAGGGCTCAGTTCTTGGATCACTTCTCTTCTCTGTCTACATGGGGTCACTAGGTTCTGTCATTCAGAAACATGGCTTTTCATATCACTGCTATGCTGATGACACTCAACTCTACCTCTCATTCCATCCTGATGATCCGACGATAGCTGCTCGCATCTCAGCATGTCTAACAGACATTTCTTGTTGGATGACGGACCATCACCTTCAACTCAACCTGGCTAAGACAGAACTGCTTGTGGTTTCAACAAACCCATCACTTTATCAAAATTTCACCATCCAGTTAGGCTCATCAACCATAACTCCAAACCTCTACAATTAATCCAAAACTCTGCTGCAAGATTAATCTCTAATGAGCCGAAAAGAACGAATGTCACACCTCTGTTCATCACTTTGCATTGGCTACCAGTAGCTGCTCGCATTAAATTCAAGGCATTAATGTTTGCCTACAAAACCACCACTGGCTCTGCACCCATTTACCTAAATTCATTACTTCAGAGTTATGTGCCCTCCAGAAGCTTGCGTTCTGCAAGTGAACAGCATATTATTGTGCCATCTCAAAGAGGCACAAAATCACTTTCACAGACTTTTTCATGAACTGTTCCCTCCTGGTGGAATGACCTGCCCAACTCAATCCGAGCAGCTGAGTCCTTAGCCATCTTCAAGGAACGACTAAAATCACATAATTTCCACCTTTATTTGACCCTCTAACTCTAGCACTTTCTATTCTATTGTAATTCTACTTTATCTACATTTATCTTCTTTTTTTATTAAAAAAAGTATTTTTCTATTCTATTTTTTCTATTATATCTACTTGTTTTTCTGTGTGTGTGTGTGTGTGTGTTTATGTGTGTGTATAATATATATATATATATATATATTATACACACACACACACACA